TAATGGGGGCCTTTTAGGAGATGGAACGTGGTGTTCTCAAATATGTAAAGGGGAAAAACCGTGTTTGTGCCATATGTTTGTTGTAATTACTAAAATGATTGAGTAAGAAGCTGTCTTAGAGGAGGAGGGGATGGTAACCATACCTGTGTTTTGTCGTCAATTTTTATCCGGCTCTAAAATGTACTGCATGTGCAAAGCACCTGCGGCCCCGAAAAGCCAGGTTTTTGGACACTTTCCCTACACAGCAGATTTACCACTTTTCTCACTTCATCAAACACAAAATTAATCTATGAGTGCAATAAAACGATATTATGTAAATGCAAGAATTAAATAACATAAGCCCAGCTTCCAGCCAGTACTAGACTATAAAATACTGCAGCTTAAGTAATTTTTTCAGTTCTGCGTTTGACTGGCTGGTGACAGTACCCTAGTACAGTTTCCTTCACTCACTGGCTTATGAGGCTGGCGGCGAAGCGGAGGAACGAACAGTATATCCTTATTTTTCAGGCTGCACTTCACGGGACAGCACTTAGTGCACGCAGGTATGATGAGCCTTGATACCACAGCAAGAACCAACTTTACTATTATTGTTATTATAAGCAGTATCGTTAAACCTCTTCTTCCCTACCGTATGAGAGATTTACGTAGTCCTGGAAGAAGTCTGTGCGTTATAGGATGTGTTCACACAATAGTATAATGTTGTGATATCAGTCCAGCACTTCCCCCCCCCCGCATCAGCTACACAACAAAGGCAAACCAAGTCATCGAAGAGTCTGTGTGTTTCTCTGTGCAGTCGAGAAAATCGCAATGCCAAGTAGTCAATACTTCCCGTCACACAGACAACGGGGGATGCGTTGTTCCACACTTCTGAGACTCACTCGCCGTGGCTTTAATTACTGACAACTGACGGAATAACTCGATCTTTTTCTCAGGGAGGAGAGTCGGGGCGCAATGGCTCCCTCTTCATACGGCCTTTATGGTACTCCCACTCAGTTGGGTTCTGAGCCGTCCCCCATCCTCTCTTAACTGTATGAAAACCAGGTCCTTTGCGCGCTGGCCAGGGGGTATGGTGGCGCGCCTGGGCGCAGACCCACGACGCGCCAGCCACCTGTGCCCTCTCCCTCCGATCTTCTTAACTATATCCTGACACCGGGCTCCGGAGGGCGAGAGAGGAGAGAGTGCGGTGCATGAGGCACAAAGCTACTAGTTCACGCGCAAGACACACTCCCTGCGTTTGCCCCACTATGGTCAACATCGTCGGAAACGACGGTCGAACTTCCGCTGTCACCTACTCCCTCCAGAAGCTAATTCACGATAGCTGACGATGAAATCTAGGAAAAAATAGTGACTTCTGCCAGGAGGTGGCGGTGCCTTGAATTGTGTACTGGCAGGAACACTAGTGGGGACTTCTGACATCTTTTCTGGACAAAGCAAACACGGAGGCTTCTGTGGAGGCCTGCGCGCTAATGCTGCTGTTCAGAGTCTGTTTTGCACGCAGGCGTTGGCACTGAACGCGACTAAAACAGTCAGAGTTGGAGGCAGACTTTTATGGAGACGCCTAGGGATAAATGTGCTAAGATAAGTGTTGCCGTGTGTACGACGCTTGACTTGATTCATTAAGGCACATATTGTCACATTGCGACTATCTGCTCCCCTGAGAATTTCTTTGGCGGAAAGTTTCTCACGCTTAACCTTATAATCCCAGCCCCTCCCCATACGTCATTTTCATTGGAGTCATAATAATGCACAGGAATGCCACGGTATATATGGGCAGAAAAGTCAAGACGTCCACTGTACCTTTACGAGCGTTTAAACCGGACAGAACTGCACGCAAATCATGGAGTCATAATTACAGGCTGTCTTGAAGACAGTAATTTTTGGAATCTATAGGCAAATACATTTTGAGTCTCTTATTTTAAACTTTGCCCAAACTCCGCTGAAAGTTAAGTCTGATTACCAGACCAGTGGAGCGCTTTATTAAATGGGGCTCCTAAATTCGAAATCGGCCGACTCCTAGCAGTAAACAAACCCGAATTGTTGCACGTTTAAACGTTTAAACTGGTTGTAACTGCCTTCGAATATGTTGCCGCCACAACATTCGTGTAGCTAGCAGTAATGGGAGTGCAATTCAATGATAGCATATCAGAAGAAACAGGAACTTTTACCGAATGGGCATGTTTCTGATCTGACTTTTCCGCATTATTAAAGTGGGTTACCTAGTTTCAGAGATCGAACAGTCATTTGCACGCCACTTAGCATAAAGGCCGCGGCTGCGTCGCATCATACCTGAAACACGAATCGCCAATGCCGCGAAAAGTAGCTCGGATTCGTATTGGTCTGCATGGTTCTCAGTCGGAAGTTTCGGCGGTCTCTGCTCTCTCTTGTCAAGTAAAAGCTCCCTCCCACCCCAGTCTAGGTAGGGTGCATGCGAGCCAATGGGGCAGTTGACTGAACTACATCATATCGAAACAGCCCAATAAAGATCATAAATTCGCGTTAGCAGTAGTCGATTGGTTTCCCTGACACACTAGCCCATCGTACCTGCAACAGGGCTAGTAGACGCCGGTTGACTCCTCCTAGTTGAAAATAGAGCCCGTTGATTTCATCATGTGCCGGTAGAGTGCTGAATCAGGCTTTTGGACGACTCCTATTCTGAATGGCGCAGTGGGGGTAGCCACGATCTCGGAATCCCTTTCGCGCAGAAGACATGTTATGATAAGGCGGTTCGGTTGAATTTCCCATTTACTGATGCTAATAATAATAATAATGGGGGCCAATTTGCAGGCGGGACAAATATGTAACGGAGTTGGAGGAAACAACGAAGAAAAACTCCTCACGTGGCAGTGTAATGCTAGTTGGGCTTTGAATACATCCTAATAATAAGGCAGTGTATCACTGGGATTATCTAGGAGAAAAAAGACCTCAGCTCGAAAAATGGCCATAACATAAAACAGGAACAACTGGTC